CACTTTCAATAGTCACATTTTTTTTCCTCACTATCATCTCATAAATTCACATTCATCATCAGTACATACGTCAATCATTTTTCAAAATACATAAACATATAAACAAAAACATCTCTTACTCAACATTTCCACTCAAATAGTCTGCTGCATCCACGTTGATCCAGGTTTGATAAGAGACTGCTACACATAGTTTTCTCTATCATCAGTTTTGCCACAACAATAAAATAAATTGTTGTGTTAACTCTTGTGTAGTACAATAGAGGGGCAGGTCTTTCAAACCAGCCGTAACAGTTGTAGTAGATCATTACATACGTGATATATCTCATCTGCTATTTCCCCCTCACAGGACTGCCACCATTCCCAAAGGAGTTCTCACAACGCGGAGTAGTGTTACTTTAGTGTAGCGCCACTAACGCTACAGAATCACGAGGAGTTTTTTGGGGTTGCTACGCTGCCGCTAGGGAGTTGTTTAGCGTAGTTCAGCGTAGCGGCCCACCATTGCTACAGATGTATAACCAATGGAAAAGGAAAAATAAGAGTGGATTATTGGAGTTTCAGATAAGAGTTGGTTGTGATCTGCATAGCACCCCAAAAGTAAATGAGATTCCACCGGAACTCGTGGCAAGTTTCAATGTGAGATTCCATTTGTCAATGATGTCTATAGCTCAGCATTAGTGTCAACAATAGGCGACCTGAGAAGAAAAGAAAAAAAAATATTTATAAAATTTCTCAGATATAGAATTGCCCACGGATCATGTTTTTTTATTTCTATTTCTATTTCTAGTTATACATATTATGTTGTTTTCATTTCAAATTATGCATACTATGCTGTTGGGCGCGTCAAGGAGATTGAGATCCAGGCGCATGTTGAGAAAACTTTTATCTTAAATAACCCCTCTTCCATCGAACTCCTAACTTAACCAAGTCCCTCTGTGGGAGGGGGGACGCTGTCCCGAAGGGACCCTCCGCAGGAGGGACTTATGAGCTAAGTCGACCCTCTCGCCCAAGAGGATTAAAAAAAGGGGGTTGGAAAAACGACTCCCAAAAATTCGACGACGACTCCCATTTTGGTCGAGGGGTCGTCGGACGG